CAGTTTACTGTATGTATTCGTGTCAATATCATTAATGTAAATTAGGAACAATAGTGGTCCTAAAATTGAACCCTGTGGTACCCCACTATAAACGGAGGCCCACTGTGACATAGTGCCTCTAATAACTACTCGCTGCTTCCTATCAGTTAGCCAGTTTTTGATCCAAGCTGCCACAGTTCCTAAAATTCCTGCAGCTTTAAGCTTTAACAAGAGCCGTTTGTGGGGGACAACATCAAAGGCTTTCTGGAAATCTAAGTAAATCACATCATAGGCCTTTTTGTGATCAATTTCACTTGTAGCTTCCTCAAAGAACTCAAGCAGATTCGTTAAGCAGGATCTACCTCTCCTACTTACTGCACATTGCCCATTTGCACAACTGTATTTTTAACTGTATGTCCATGTCAGTATTATTTAAATGTCTTACGTATTTCTATTTTATTCTTGCCATTACTGTTTCTTGAAATTCCATTTCAGTGTCTGACCCATGGATGATACATGGCGATACTTTGACTTTCACCTTAATTTCCCTCCAATAGTCCCGACTGTTGACTTCCTCGTCAAAATTAAGGAGGTGAAGGCCAAGGAGAGGGAGGATGCGCTCTTCGAGTGTGTTTTATCCCACCCACTGCCTATGATCATATGGATTGGCAAGAATAGCGTGTTGGAGGCAGGGGAGAAGTACGAGATCAGCGTGTCTGAGGACAAGCTCGTCCATCGGCTGCTGGTGAGGGACTGCATGCAGCTGGACAGGGGAATCTACACTGCCGTGGCTGGGATCAGGAGCAGCAGCGCCTGGCTAGTGGTGGACGGTAAGCAGGGCCAATGAAGATGGTAGCCAGCTAGCTGGTTAGCAGAACATTCTGCTTCAGCGTCTCCTACATAAGGAAAATGTTTATTTAAATATAGTGACTGATGGTGGCCAACAGGGGGCTGTACGTTGGTTGGTAAGCGCCACCTCTGATAGTAAGGCTCAGTGTTGCAAACTAAGAAGGAGTCATTGGGATCCATTGTAGGTCATCAGCTTCAGTGAGCCATTCAAATAATGTGTCAACATCGGCAATGACATACTGTTTCTATAAGCCAAATGCAAACTCCAAAATTTGCCTCATTAACGTAATGATGTTCATCCCATTGGTTGTAAGTCCTAACACTTATAACATAGAAATTTTAATTTATAGTAAATCTATACCACATTAGCCAGCTAACAATCCATCCCTAATGTGTCCATTGCTATACGCATGAATAGGGGACATAATATACGTGACTTAGTCCTTCAAAATGACACATGACCCAGAAAAACAGGAGGCAGACATGTCTATGTCGGGAGTGAACTCCGGGATTATAGGCAATTTTCCCTGAAAAGGGAGGTGTACGGGACTAAGCACAATAGGCATGAAGAACAGAGGGATTTTTTAAGAAAATAGCTTTTAATTACAATGATCTACAAAAAGAGCATAACAAAGCTAAGCATGAGCCCATAAGAAAGGAGTCCAACTATTAAAATCAAACTTAAGTCAAAACAGACAAACAAACCAAACGCAAAGCTGACTCCCCAAAGGTGACACAACAGGGGTATATATACACTGATGAGCCAAGACATTATAACCACCCCCACATGAAGCAAATAATGTTGAATATCTAGTATAGACAGTGCATGTCAAAGTGTGAGATATATTAGACAGTAAGCTAACATTTGCTAGTCATAGTCAACTTGTTTAATGCAGACGAAATGGTCAGGGATAAAAATCTGAGTGACTTTGATAAGGGCCAAATTAGCATGGTCAGAAAATCTCAGAAACAGCAAGGCTTGTGGGGCGCTCACGGTCAGCCGTGGAGATACCTACTGAGAGAGGTCTGAGCAGGGAACACCCATGAGCCACTGGCAAAGCGCTGGCCGGCTAAGACTCGCCAATGCAGGATGCCGATGAAGGCAATCCTGTGAGGTATGAACCAACAGAAAGGTTACTGTGGCACAAACGGCAGAAAATTCTGATGATGATCATGGGAGTAACGTGTCATGGCACACAGTGGACAGAGACCCTGTGGATGATTGGCACCTTTACTGTTACCTTGGTAACACTGCTTTCCCCAACTGCTTTCCTGGTTCCAGCTGACACTGATCCCAGAATGAATGGGAAGAAGAAGGTCAGGAAGACGACGCAGGCTGGCGGGTCCGGAGTAGACCTGGAGGCTGTGGCCCAGGAGCAGCTGGCCAAGCTGCTGAAAGAGAAGGAAGAAACAAAGTGGCTGAAGGAAAAAGAGGAGGCGAAGCTGCTGAAGGAGAAGACGGAGGCCAAGTGGTTGAATGGGATGGAGGAGGCCAAGTGGTTGAATGGGAAGGAGGAGGCCAAGTGGTTGAATGGGAAGGAGGAGGCCAAGTGGTTGAATGGGATGGAGGAGGCCAAGTGGCTTAATAGGAATGAGGAGGCCAAGTGGCTGAATGGGAAGGAGGAGGCCAAGTGGTTGAATGGGATGGAGGAGGCCAAGTGGTTGAATGGGAAGGAGGAGGCCAAGTGGCTGAATGGGAAGGAGGAGGCCAAGTGGTTGAATGGGATGGAGGAGGCCAAGTGGCTTAATAGGAATGAGGAGGCCAAGTGGTTGAAGAAAATGGGGGAGGCCAGGCTCCTGAAGGAGAAAGAGGAAGCCAAGCTGCTGAAGGAGAACAAGGAGGCCAAACAGCTGAAGGGGAAGGAAGAGGCCAAGCTGCTGAAAGAAAAGGTGGAGGCCAAGTGGCTGAGGGAGAAGGAGGAGGCCATACTGCTGAAGGAAAAGGAGGGAGCCAGGCTAATTAAAGAGAAGGAGGAGGCTAATTGGCTGAAGGGGAAGGAGGAAGCCAAGCTGATGAAGGAGAAGGAGGAGGCCAAGCTGCTGAAGGGAATGGAGGAGACCACATGGCTAAAGGGACTGGAGGAGACCACACTGCTTAAGGAAAAGGAGGAGGCCAAGCTGATGAAGGAGGAGGTCAAACTGCTGAAGGGAATGGAGGAACCCAAATTGCTGAAGGACAAGGCAGAGGAAAAGCTGCTGGAGAAGAAGGAGACGACCAGACCCAGTAATGGTTGTCAATCCACTGCTCCGACATTCATCTCTGCATCCAAATATGGTCTGAAATCTGAAAAGTCTGAAAGCACTGATGGGTTGGGAAGTTCAAGATTAAATGACTCTGGATCTGAAGATCCTGAATTTGGAGGTTGTGGACCTGAGGATAGTGGACTGGCAGGCATACAGGATGACAGCCAATTTGTGGAAAAGGAAAGTGGATCTTCAGGAAGAAGCTCAGCTGACCATCAGACCAGGCATGCTATGGATACAAGCAGAGGTGAGGCACTTACTGAAGGTAGACCAATGCTTTTCAGATCACTGTACAAGGCAAATATTGACTGATTCATTTTCATAATGCTTAAATTTTTAATGAATTAAATGTCAATTTAATTTCTACCTGTTCTATAGCATTTAATACTAAAACAAATGTTTGAAATATGAATTATTTAAAGTGATATGATACGTAGCCATATTATCATGAGTTGAATGTTCATAAAAATTAATTTCTCATAATCGTGTTAACGAGCGCTGTGAGATCCCGTTCTTGACTGTTATCTCTATCTTTTATTGTGTGCCTACTTTGGGAACATGAGGGAAAATTTGGAGCTTCATGGTACCTTTCAAACCGGGATATTATTAATGACGTTAATAATTACTTGTAGGACAGCCAAATCTCGGTGGCACTGAGCCAGTCGCAGTGGTCGTGGATGGAGAGCAGACCATGGGTGATATCAAGGAGAGACAGTCCCCTCCACCTTCACACACAGAGCCCGGTAAGAAGGCAGCTTCTGAATGGACATATCAGTGGCAAATATAAGCAAGGACATCCTGGTTTCAGCTATTTATACAGACCTACTTAACAACCTACCTGTTCAACGACACCCCGGATTTACGAGCAGCTGTCTGACCAGTCAGTATTGTACGCCGTACGAGAACTTTAGTCGTGGAAACAGCAAAGCAATGTCTGAGAGCCAAGCATCTCAGCTCACATCACGCTTTCTCAGTCTCAGTCTCGTTCCCGCAATGTCGGTACTCACAAGTCTATTATTTACATAACATGTTTAAAAACATAGTACAGCCAAAGAAACTTAACATGTCAAACCGCTAGCCAACCAATACTGACCAGCGTTCTAGTTCTCTGACTTAAACGAATATTCTTATCTCATACATATTAGCAGCCAACATCAAGCCCTAGCAGTACATTACAGATGTACCCACTTTAAAAGGTCCTTTGATGCGTCCTCAGCAGATCACTTGTCCGTTTAGTGGATACACATGTATACGTACTCGCAAGCCAAGAAATACTCTGTCGATGCAAACGATTCAGCAGAACACATCCCATGCGGTTTTTTATTGGTTACTTAGGCTTATTGAACTGCTGAGCATTTAATGAACAAATGGTAATTTTCAACTCTTGGACATGTTTTGGATGTCCACAAAAAATCACTGACAGGGCAAAGGGATCAGGATAGAACAGAATCAAGTGCAGAAGTGAACTCATGGAACAGAGAGGGCGAAATGGACAAGTGTCCCCCCCTCCCCGCCACAGTCTCCGGTAAGAAGGCGCTATGTGTCAATACTGCATGGACAGAAACAGAAAACTCTGAGAAACCTTCTGCTACTTATGCATTTGAGTGACAGCAGATTACGATTCCAAGGATGCAATATGATATGATTCACCCCTATTGCAATGCAGTGCAATTTGACACGATGTGATTCAATGAGGCGATGCATAACAATATAATTCTATGCAATCCAATATGATACAGATCCAGAATCAGTTGAGAGGGAATCAATCTAAATTTTAAATTATTGGCCAAAATTATTGGTCGCATGTCTAAATAATAAAGGCATACTAATATATTAATAAATGTAGAATTTATTTGTCTCAAGTTCATCCCAAGTTATATCCTGTGCCAAGCAGCATAGGGCGGCAGACTGGGGTACACCCTGGGTGGGGTGCCTCTCCATTATAGGGCACATGATAGATTAACAGCTGTGCATTATGGGTAATCTAGAGATACTAATTGGTCTAAATGCATGTCTTTGGACTGTGACAGGATATCTAGGCCACATGGGGAGGATTTGCAAACTCCACACACATAGAGGTGGGATTTGAGTCACCAGCCTTGCAGGTGCAAGGCAACAGCGCCACCTACTGACCCACACTGTCACTCTTGTTTTTTTTTTTTTTAGATGGATGGATGAAATGAGAAGGGGGAAAGTAGATATGTAACCCCATTAATTCTGGCAATTTGTACAGTGTATTGCTTGGATTATTCTGCTCAGTGAGTGACTGGGATCAGGCATGTGATTTACTGAAATGTTTATTTTTAGGAAAACTTCCGTCTGGAAATACTGCTTGGCTTACTCAAAAAATAAGTGCAAACTCCAAGTTCTGCCCCATACTCTTAGTTTTCTCAGTCATCTTTAATTATCATGCTTTTTATCATATATGTATTCCTATTAACAATTTATTACACTAACAATCAGCTAATATGAAAGGTGAAATTAATTTACATGCAAATTAATATCTTGTGCCAGGCATGTCATTTTTGACTGTTTTTTCTTCGCTAATTCACACTGGCTTTGTGTTATAGTAATAGTGAGACATATCATCAAAGCATCATCAAGTAGTTAAATTCTGGAATCAGACTCTTCAGAAGTGATATTACCTTTGTGATACATAATGTTATGAAAAACATGCAAGCAGACAAATTCCTAAAAAGCACACAATTTTTTGATAATTATATTATTATTTATTTTTAAACAGTTTTATAGATTCCGTGTTTTTTAATTTATCAGAATAAAGCTGGCGTTTAACTGTTGTCATGGTAAACGCAAACAGGAGAAAAGGGCTATCAACGTGCCTCAGCAGACCAAAGCCTTCCAGGTAGGACGGAATCTTCTGGAGGTGACTCTGAGCTGAACGAATCACCCAGGTGCACACGGTCAAAATGGGGACCACAACTTCTGGAAACAGTTACTGGTATGGAACCACACCGGTAACACGGACTGTATGCATGTAACAGACTGGTCTTGGTATGGTACTGGTTTTTAATTAACTGGCATTGGAAGTAACCAATTTCAAAATGGTATTGGAATAATCACTGTATTATCTTTACTAATGGAGGAAGACCTTTTTATGGTGATATCCACAATGAGAAACTGATTTAGTTACCCATAATAAGCCATGTTTCATTTTCTGCTGCGCAAGATCTAAATGTTTTGTATAATATGTTCAATGTAGGATGAAAGGGTCCTTAATAGAATTAATAATGAACACTAAATGAGAAACATCAGGTGAATAATGAAAACAAAAAGTAACATCATAGTTACTTACTTACATCTACTACCCCTCTTGGGGCATAGGACATCAACCAGGACGCTCCACATCACCCAAGATGTCTTGAGCTCCTGTTGATGTTCCTGCAGCTACTGTTGCCTAACAATCCTCCTTTCTCTGCTGGGCTTGGGATTAGGGTAGTCACCCGTCCCTTATAATACGGGATAATCCTGTATTGGAACATGCTCCCGTATTATAGGGGATGATGGTGGCAACCCTGCTTGGGACCCTCCATGGCAAAGATTACATCATAGCTGCATGGTTATAGTCAGTGGTGGACATTTCAGGTCCAGAAAGTAAAAATCCAAACCAGGATTTTCTTTCAACCAACCAGTTGAATATAAAGAGTCACAGTCACAGAGTACTCAACTGGTTGGTTGAAAGAAAATCCTGGTTTGGATTTTTACTTTCTGGACCTGAAATGTCTATCTCTGGTTATATTTCCATCCAGTTGGCTGATAGGGAACTCCATTGAGTTAAAGTTATAATATTTCACATTAAATATCGTGCATAAAAACTGATTATTCTTAGCACCGTTTTAGCAGTGTGAAATACTGCAATGAAAAGATCTCGAGAAACCATAATAAGCAGAAACTCTTTCTTGAACACTTAATTACTACCAAGACATAGATATGGCCACCAAAATCAATGCAATTGATCATGAAGCCCTTATTTATTTAGATCCTGGAGTTTACTTCACAAGGGGGCTGTCTAACGTGAACATCACCAAAGGCCAGTCTGCTGATCTGATTTGCAAGCTGAGCAGTGATGCGTCTGATGGGACCTGGTACAAGGATGGAAAGCAGGTATATACCACCTTGGGCAGGTACAGACCATCACGACCTGTGCTCAGATGACAGGTCCTTCCTAAATCCCCCTTCTCCTGACCATTTCTGTTACATCTGTATCTGGTCTTGGCCAGTTGTCTCCCACAGATACTCTGACTATCACAAAAGACTGCTCCTCTCACAAGTTGACAATCCATAACTGCCAAGAAGAACATGCTGGAAAATATTGCTTTGAAGCTGATGGACGCAAGACTGAAGCCCTCATCATCGTTGAGGGTCAGTATAGACGTCTCATATCTTGTAATTTGTCAGAAAATTTTGCATGATATAAAAGGGAGATATTGAATATTCTTCATTAACTAAAGCCCTTATAAAGAGAACATTTTTGGAAAATTACACACAGGAAACCTATGAGCTGGTTTTAGAGCTGGACATATGTCTGATTTGTGTTTGAGAAGCTCTGTTACAAAGAACGAATGACAAGTGCAAAGCTGTTTGTGTCATGAACAGACCCTCCAAGGTTTAACCCTGATGACCTGGAGAAGTTCTCAGGGCCGGTCATTGTGAAAGCAGGGCAAAATGCGACATTCAAGATACCCTTCCTGGGGCAGGACCCAGCAAGGGTCCAGTGGTACAGAGAAGGTGTAGAGCTGCTGGAAAATCCGAACATCAAGCTGGAGAAGATGGCCAATCAGAGCCGCCTGCTCCTCCGAAAGTGTCAGCGCAAGGACACAGGCGAGATCAAGGTCAAAATCAAAAATGAATTTGGTACCGCCGAAGCCATCTCCAGGCTGATTGTCCTGGGTAAGTAACATCCTGGCATTGTGGGATACATCAGCAACTCAGAACCAAGGGGGACATTTTAAGGTGTTCAACTTGTATATTCTTCTGAAGCAACCGTTTGTATGTTGCACCTGATGATTATCAACACTTGTGGGTCACCTTAATCATTCAATTAATTACGTGTTAGATATCTGATTATTTTGACCTGAGTGTAGCATGACACTGAAAATGGACACTAGTGTGGTATAAGAATTGCAGCATTGTGTAAATAGTTATTTTTTTCCTAATACACTTAATTGTAATGTCATGTCTTCATGAAAATGCCACACTGTCATATTCGCCTTACACTGTTTTCTTGGAGCAGTGTTTTCAAAGCTCACTCGTAGAGGGTTGAGGGTGGAATGTAAAGCCCTGACCTGCACTGATGTGTCATCTCACTTCCTGCAGACAAGCCCAGCCCACCACAAGGCCCCGTGGAGGTCCTCGAAAGCTCTGCCACGTGCATCGAGATCAAGTGGAGGCCACCTAAGGACAATGGGGGCTCATCGGTGATGAGCTACACACTGGAACGGCAGCAGATCGGAAGGAACACATGGAAGAAGCTGGGAGACGTAGAGCCGGTGCCCAGATACAAGGACACAGATGTGGACCATGGTAGAAAGTACTGCTATCACATTTGGGCAGTAAACAGAGAGGGTGTGAGTGACATGATGGAGACTGAAGACGTCATGGCAGGAACCAAGGGTGAGCCAAAAAATACAAAAATCTCTCTTGGGAGATACCAGTATCTACCAGTATATATACCAGTCGTAATACACCAACGATGGTGACAACACTGCTTAGCTGGAGACTTACCTAATACTTGTTGTTACATCGTTGCCTCGGACAATTCCATAGGTTGTTTATGATGTCATTTCGATCCCTTCAGCAGACATGTTATCATCAGCGTTTATGTTCAACTTTGTCGACTATAGAAAAAATACCTACAATCCTGTATAGATAAGTTCTGGGAAAATGGGTGAGTAGATAGTAGAGCTAACAGATAAACATAAGTAAAAATGATTCATAGTCGCATTGTTTAACTAAAGCAGTTGAAAATTTTGTGTATTCATTTCTGAATGCCAGAACTATCAAGACAATGTATGATGACATTTTGGCCTGTGATAAAATCAGCCAAAATAATTTATATTAAAACGTTGCTGTTCTAGAGGGCAACACTCCTCATCCTTGTTCTGACTATTTCTGCTTTGCAATTCACCAGCATTCCCTGGCCTACCAGCTGCACCCAAAATAGTCAGTGCTTTCAAGGACTGCATCAATCTTTCATGGACCCCCCCAACCAAAACCGGTGGGTCGCGCATCGTGGGATACAACCTGGAGAAACGCAAAAAAGGCAGCAACCTATGGACCCCAGTCAACCCTGCAAAGGAGCCTATTCAAGGTCTGTAAAGTTAGCATGTTGGTCTAGACCAGGGCTTGCAAGAGATGATCCAATGTGCAATGATGAGGAGACCATCAGCAAATGTAAAGCAAACCATTTTCAAGCAATATTAGCCCTTTCTTTGTATTGCTATTCAATAGTTAATATTATCATGATTAAAGTGGTCTGTCTTGTGTATTTTAATTTTAATTCACTACCTTCCCTGATAGATGAGCCAACTCTCCAAGAACACATGGCCTTTGATCTTTTAGTTGATATAGACTAATAAAAAGATCTATTTTTCATGTAGTATTAGCATGATGGCTATTGTGCTGATAACTGGCATAGTAATGTAGCAGGAGCATTGCACAGCCCATGTGGCATCGCCTGGAATGGCCACAATATTATAACTTTTCACTGAATCCATTTTGTTATGTAGTATTAGCACAGTGGCTATTGTGCAGAAGACATGCAGGGCAGAACCCAGGCTCTGATCACCTCTGTTTCCCTCTACAGAGAAGACATATGCGGTGGGAGACGTTGTGGCCGGAATGGAGTATGAGTTCCGCGTGGCAGCCATAAACCTGTCCGGTGTCGGCGAGCCAAGCCTCCCATCTGAGTCTGTGTTTGCAAGAGACCCCAAGAGTGAGTCTAAGCACAGACAGCATCCTCTAAATGACTCAGTTAATAAGTGAAAAAGGCTAGCAGTGCAGTTACACCTGAAATAAGGGATATGTGTATTTTGTAGAAATTTTTATGACTGTAGACAGGAGCAAGTTTATTGTTTTGGGGGCCTCACTCAAAAAGACCCCCCTGCCCCAGTGCAGTGATCCCACAATGCATTGTTTTTGTTGACCATTGTTTGATTGGTGGTAAACACCACCGCTGACTGTAGATATGTATTTATCACCCAACTCTTTTTAATGCCACTTGTAGTCTATCCTAGTTTAGTAACAGTCTAGAATATTCTAACCAGATCTACCCAGGCATAACCTGTCAGTAAACAAACCATGTCACACAGAGTGTCCTGGCAAAGTCAGCGACCTGAAGGTGACAGACTCCACCTTCGCCATCCTGTCCCTCTCTTGGAGTAAGCCTGCTGTGGAGGAGGGGGTCCAGGATGAGGCCAAGGGCTACTTTGTGGAGATTCGGCCGGGAGACAGCCTGGCCTGGGAACGGTGTAATGCCAACCCAGCCTCTCTGACCTTCTTCACGGTGAAGGGGTTACGGTCCATGGCCATGTACTGGGTGAGGGTCATAGCCACCAATGAGGGGGGGGAGGGGCAGCCCCAGGATCTGGACAACTACATCCTAGCCATGCCTCCTACAGGTAGGTGATCAGATAGTATCTGTACATTCCTTTATTTCTGGTTTTCTTACGCATAGGTTCATGTAAATTTCCATATTGTAGCCGAGTGATTCCAGCCATCTTCAGTGCTCTTTGTGTAATTTGTTATGTTAAGTAAAGAGCAAAAATGTAACCATTTACCATTCAGTCAGACCCAAAATCACCCGCAACCTGAAGACCTTCATGGCGGTGAAAGCTGGGAATTCAGTGCGAGTCAACATAAACTTTGTGGTAAGATTCCTGTCCAACTGCCTACAACAAAGCAAATACTGAATTGTTCTGATGCAGCCCAGACACATGAAGGTAAATAAAATGCTGAAATGTTTCTACTAACTCACAGAATCTGCAGACGATTCTCTCAGTCGTTGATTCCATTCTGACTAAATGAGTTTCCTTGATTACCAGGCTTCCCCAATGCCTGATGTCATCTGGTTGAAGGACAACGTCCCTGTGACAAAAAGAGTGACTATAAGCAATTCTGAAGGAACATCACAGCTCTTCATCCCAACATCCGAGCGCTCAGATTCAGGGCTGTACACCATCATCATCAGGAACTTAGTGGGACAGGAAACATTCAGCGTCGAGATCCGAGTTACAGGTTGCATCTCCACTCCCACCAATGTACTCAAGGATATCCAGCTCATAGTTAAAAACACTCAAAAGCATGGTCATCTATTATTTGTGTAGTATTACAGTATATATTATGTATATTTATTGCTTTTTAAATATATGATTTTCATTGTTGTCTTGCCAATCAAATCAGGCTTTGCAGAACAAAATTGTGCTCTTCTGTCCTATTCCCCTTCATCACCTCAAAGAGAAAGTGTCCCAGCCTTCTGGAGTGTAACCTATATCAAATAAACATGACGAAGATGGATCAGAATACTGACATCAACTTTGCAGGCTGGGTAACAGATTACACGTGTAGACCACATTTCTAATCTGACCATAGATGACCCCAAGCCACCTGGCGTGGTGGAGCTGGAGGAGAAGGTGCCAGGCACAGTGACTGTGAGCTGGGAACCGTCACCAGACGAGAAGCGTGACGACCGTCTGCACTACATGGTCTCCAGACGGGACTCCAGCAAGAAAACATGGAGCACGATAGCCGATCGCCTCTTCAACAACAAGTTCACGGCCTGCAACATCATGCCAGGCTGCGAGTACCACTTCCGAGTCTACGCCAAGAACGACATGGGCGTCTCGGAACCCTCAGACTCACCTACGTGGGGGACAGCCAGGAAGAGAGGTCTGGCAAATGTTGGTCTACTCACGAAAGCCATCATAAATCAAAGGCTCTGTGGTATTATAACGAGTCACGTACTTACTTGACAAACTTTAGTGAGTATCTTATATTTTCAACAGGCCATAAGGATTCTGGTTATGTTGGGGTTTGCTGATTAGTAGTATTTTCTATTTATATTGTTTGAATTAGAATATTCATATTTGACGTTTAAGCCACAGTACTGTAATTTAATTTATGCCTGATATTTATGCATAAACGACTCTATTCACTATTAGATGTTCCCCTAAAAAGCACCACAGTACTTTAATATTTAATATTATGACACAGCAAAACCAACTGATTAACTCCACACTATATGAATATGCATCAGTCATGGACCTTCTAATTAAATGCCAGATATACCAGCAGAGAGTCACCAATCCTAAAAAACATAGTGGTGTCATGAAGCTGATGCGCTACAAAGCCTAGCTAAGCTCAAAATAAATAAATCGCAGGGCTCTGATGGCATCTGATCTATAGTTTTAAAGAGATAAAGGATATTATTTGACAACCTTTAACCATAGGGTTCAATTTTAGGACCAGTCTTATTCCTAATTTACATTAACGATATTGACACCAATAAATGCAGTAAACTGGTAAATTTGCAGACAACAACAAGGTGGGTGGTGTAGCAGATACTGAACTAGCGGATCTGAGGCTACAACGGGATCTGGATTTAATTAGCGACTGGGCTGATACCTGGCAGATAAAATTTAATGTAGACAAAGGTAAGGTAATCCATACAGGGAGCAGAAATATAAAGTACAGATATTTTCTGGGTTCCATTGAAATGAAGGTACCTAATAATGACCATGGTGTGTATGTTGATGCTTCCATGTCCAAATTGTTTTCACTGGGCTCCCGTTTCCTGTCCGCAACATTAATTAAAAACAAAATATTGAAAAAAAAATTTTTGAAAAAAAAAATATATATATTTTTCTGCGCGCCAGTTCCGCAGTTCGACTTCTGGCCGCTACTCCCGCCGCGCAGCAGCGTAGCGTACGTACTCCCAGCGTCCTAGATCTTTGTACTTGCGTATACCCTTAAAATGATGTTAAACAACGACTTACGGACATTTCAAGTTACGAACGGCCGTTCGGAACGTATCTCGTTCGTGAGTAGAGGAGCGTCTGTACTTCAATAATTGTTCAAATACAAGAACTCGTGGCCATAGGTGGAAAATAGCGGGAAAACATGTTAAACTGGATTTGAGGAAGCACGTCTTTACACAGCGTGTAGTTAGAGTATGGAATACTCTGCCTGTTAGTGTAGCGGAAGCTAAAACCCTGGGCTTCTATCAGAGCTAGATAAGACTTTAACAACTCTGAGCTATTAGTTAAGTTCTCCCCAAATGAGCTTGATGGGCCAAATGGCCTCCTCTCATTTGTAAATTTCTTATGATCTTATCTTCTTCTGGTTTGGCTCCACCCAGAAAAATTTGTGGTCAGCATGCCAGTGTACAAGGCCCACGACCTGCGGAGGGCGCCCTCATTTCTTGTGCCGCTGAAGACTCACACTGCCCCCCCCGGCTATGAGTGCTACATGAGCTGCGCAGTGGGTGGCAACCCAGCCCCCCGCATCACTTGGCTGCGCAACAACGTCAGCCTCAATGCCGACGCCAACTACTACATCAGCAACACCTGCGGCGTCTGCTCCCTGCTGATCCTGCGCGTGGGCCCCCACGACACGGGCGAGTACACGGTGATGGCAGAAAACCGCCTAGGGAGGGCGCACTGCTCCACCTGGCTCACCATCACAGGTAATATTGGGCTTGACACAGCCTGCCACTAGTCCCGTATCCAGCAGCAATGTTTACCACCATTCATACCATAAGAACTGTGGCCACAAACTGTGGCCCCCTGTTGGCCACAAACAGTTACTACATTGGGCAGGGGCCCTAAAGTGACTTTTTGACTAGGGCCCCAGGAAACAAAACCCACCCCTGCTCATATCAACTCAGAAAAGCTTTAGCAGGCTGTATTATACCCAAGAAAATAAAGCTTAATTTGCTGCTTGTTCGCTGGAATGTGTTAATTATTGCAAATCCCATTTTGCTGTCCTTTTCTTTAAACACACACACACAAATAAGAGATGAGAACAAAAGTTGCCCTCTGAGTGCACAGTCAGCCATCCATCCAGTGCTGCTGGGGCAATTTTTAGGAAGTTAGGGGTCTCGCTGAAGGGCCCAACCTGACCGTGGGATTCAAACTAGCAACCTTCTGACCAAATGCACAGAGACATAACCTGCTGAGGACATACTGTCCCACATCTTGTAATGACACGATCAGTATCCATCCATCTTTCCATTTACACTCGTTTATCCAGTATGTGGTCACCTTCAACCTGAAGCCCGTCCCAGGAGGCATAGCATACAAGGCAGGGGGTGCCAGTCCGTCACAGGAGGCAGGGCAGGGGACACCCTAGATGGGGTGCCAGACTGTGACAGGAGACAGGGCAGGGGACACCCTAGATGGGGTGCCAGTCCGTCACAGGAGACAGGGCAGGGGACACCCTAGATGGGGTGCCAGACTGTCACAGGAGACAGGGCAGGGGACACCCTAGATGGGTTGCCAGACTGTCACATGCCACATCTTCACATCCTGTGGGCAATCTGAAAGTCAGCAATTCACCTAACCTGACTGTGGCAGGAAAGGTGCAGAAACACAGGGAGACTTCTTTCAGCATCTCTCTCTCTCTCTCTCTCTCTCACACACACACACACACACCTTGTTAGAACCATAGATGATTTCATTTCACATGTCATTCATTATTAAATCATTGAGGTTACAGTATTTTTTGTTTTTGTTAGCAATAATGTGCAAATTGAGACCCCTGTGTTGATAGATTTGGCATGACCCCGTTTGTGCACACAGACCCATAATCACTTGTAGTTTTGATTGGATGAAGTACGTTGGATGGGTGTTTATAGATCTGTTGTTGTATTGTACCACTTTGCACATGTTCATGCTTTACAAAACGGCACAGATACAGGAACTGTCACCATAACGCGTACAAACACAGACACACACACACACACACACACAGTGTACTGGGAGAGGGATCCGTGTACATGTATGTGATTAATTCCATCTTTCTGTTTTGTCTTCCAGATTAAAGAAGATCGCTGTTTAATAACCAGATCACATTTGGTGTGCAGTGTTTGCACACTGGCTACCCACTGATCTCACTCACCTGAGCATGTGATTAGTGAACGTGCTAATCGTGTTTATAAATATAGTATTTAATGACATTCAGTTGCATCTCCAAGTATGACTGTATCTAAATCATTACATAGGCCTCTATCATTCTGCAGTTTTTAAAATAAAATCTATATTTGTCTACAAAAATGAATGCAAGCATGCAATTGTTATCATTAAATTGTTAATTCTGCAACATGTTCATTCTGAAAAACATATAACTAAAAAGTTATATGAACTAATATCAATATATATATGTGTGTGTATTTGAAGTATGACAGTCAAGTTAAAATTTGACAATACTCGTTTATAAACTGATTGAAAATCGAGTGTATCCTTAATGTGTGATATATGCAGTGCTTAATAATGGTGTTCTGTTACGAGTTAAATTATTTGTTGTTAGCATTGTGTGACATGCCAATAATCCACTTGATATGCAGTACAAATTTTGTATTGTTTTACAGCAATTACAGCACAACATAGGCATTTAAATAAACCATACTAAGTTGGCCTACTCCGTGACTCTCTATTCCTGTTACTTTGATGCTCTTTTCTAGTTCTCCTGTAACTTTTAATCATTATGATAATGTTGCACGGGAGGTTTAATGAAAAGCAACGCAAGAACCTTCTCTCAGTTACGCGCGGCTGCCTCCCAGAAGAGCGCTGTGTTTTGACTCATTTCGGCGGATCTAAACGGCTCTTTATGGGTAGAGCTCGTCACACGTGTGACCTCTCCGTTAGTCAGGGCTCCTTATAGCGGGATATTTATTACCATCACGCCCCCTTCCTTTTCCGTCTGCCGGTCCAGCCTCCTGCGCTCCTCGTCGGGCTCCTCTTCCACACCTCCTAATGTCCTATGAATGAACGTCCGTCACACTTTTGTTTTGAGCGCCTCCATCAAGAAATAAGCCACCCGGAATATTTTTTTTTACCGACGTCCGGGCTGATCAGTCAAACTTCCTAAGTGTACTTGGGGAGAAAATGACGGCCAAGCACCGAAAAGGGAGAGGTAACAACAAACAGGAGGAGAACTCCTTCAAACACGAAGCCCCGGAGCGCGACCCCCGGCGTGGAGGCGCTCCCGCGATTATCTCCGTCCTGCTCCTCACAGTCCTGATCGGGGGGGCGATCGTGGCGTGGTTCTGCCTCCAGCAGCATCAGACTTCCGCCAACCTGGCTGACACCTTAGTGGGCATGCAGATGAAGATGGTGAAGCTCCAGGCGCTACAGGAGGAGGTGCGGATGACCGCCGACAAGGTAAACAAATCCTCCTCAGCTCCAAACGCAGAGATCCAAACCCATGTATGACAGGTCCGAGCGGCTACTATTTAAGGCAGATCAGCCCCTCGGAATTAACCTGATGGTATTTTTACTTGCCTGAACTTGGCTGCCTCGCATTGCAGGATGTGTGGGATCTAGGGCATAGGCGCCTGCATCGATGAGGCGCTCATGATGAAGTGGGACAGGTCCCACAGCTCCTGAAGCAAGTGAAGCGCGCTGCTTCCTCTCACTTCCTCTCGGTTCCTCTCTTTAAATATACGCCGCCTTTAGGAGACCCCACACCGCGGAAAGCGGAGGAACTGAAAGCCAGCCAGGTACCCCTATGGCCTCTCCTGCCGGGAAGTTTCTGAACTCCCTGCAAAGTGGAGCACTGCTTATTATATTACTAAACAAATGGTCAACCAAACTGGGCACCGTTTTAAATTAGGACTTAAAATAGCTTTTGGGCAAAAACTCGCAGAAACTAATGCAAAAGCAGTGTGATCGGTGCAAGTTTACAGGTTTAGTAGTACAGTGAGAGGGATCCAGACCCCTGAAGCCAGTTTTAAAACTAGTAGCCCTGGTTAAAAATAGACTCTGATGCATTTGCAATCGACACCTGGAGTGAATCCGCACAGTTGTCGCCAGCAAATGCTATAAATGTCTTCAATGAGTCGCCCTCATACTTACAGCTGGGATTATTGAAGTATGCTAAGGACAGCCACCAAAGCCATACAATGCAAAAGTGCAAGGGCGAAACTTTTAAATAATCAAAAGTCTAGACTGATTTTAAAACTGTCGCGGCCTATTAAATTCTAAATTCATTAGTTACAAGCTGGCATACAGAATCGTGGAAAGTTATATGCGTTTTCCCTTCCTGCTTCTAAGTAATCATATAGAATAAATTTGCTCAACATTATGCTACGTTATCAATGTCACTTTAATAAAAGTATTAAAAACGGGATAATTAAATATTTTAAATAACAAAAACTGGAAAATATGTTATATGTGTATATAAGTAGCTAGGCTATATGTAGCCTATATACGTAGGCTATAATGAATACTTTGGGTGGAATTCTTTCCTTAGTCTATAAAGTACATCAATAAAAAAAATATTGTATTGAATCCAGCGGGTAAATCTTATGCATACAGCAGCACGGTGCGTGAAATGCAGACAAAAAAAAACATAGTGCGAAACAATGACAAATTGCACATCCACCCCCCTACCCCCCTACCCCCCTTCGCCCAGTACGGTGTTCCGGGCAATTCGGTTTCCCTATGTTTCCCCTGTCGCGCGCTGATTTGTACACAGTTTCGCTGTTGTTATAATGTCTTTTTACGAAGCTCTTGAGGTAAACAAGTCATATATTTTAAAACATCACATGCCTTTTCGATGTTTTTTGTTTTTACAGATAATACATGAAAGTATTTAATTGCTGGATAGAGATATTTCTTAATGAAAACGGTATAGTATTGCTTATAAGACTATATTATGCGTGACGAACTACTGTATTCGCATGTAATACTGTACCTGAGTGATTTTCAGACATCCCACATACATCTTTGCCTAAATATTAGGAGAAACATTATTTCCTGACATCCAGGATATTTGGTTCCCCCCTGTTAAAACAGGTATACAGCAACTCTGGGCCTCGGTACTAATAGCAATACAGTATTCACATGTAATAATGTACCTGAGTGATTTTCAGACATTTCACATACCTCTTTGCTTTAATATTAGGGGAAACATTATTTCCTGATAGACAGGGGAAACATAGGGAAACCGAATTGCCCGGAACACCTGTCTCTCGAAAGGCGGATCTGCCTGGTGGAGAGAAGTACGCATGATACCCAGTAGTTGTTTCTTGCTTCGCTTCACCAGTAGTTGATTATACATCGTTCTTGTGATATTCTTGGCTTCCCCATGCCCTGGCTGGGTAAACAGAAAGGTTTCATCAGACCGCAGATGTATCAGGTGGCTTGTTCAGCTGTAGGGAAAGATCCAGTCTGACAGAAAACCCGCGAGCATGACCATCCAGCTCTTCATCATTTTTTATGGTGACATTTTTTATTCGGGCTTCCTTTTTCCAGCACAACTTTAATGCATCGTAGGTTTGAAGAAGTTCTGATCGTCGGGTGAACTGGACGCTATTAGACTTATGCTCCAGGTCTATATGAATTACAACAAACAAGAAAATCATAATGAAAGGAATTGTAGTGATAAAAGTTAAAAAGTCATTTTTCATCTTTTATGGACTGTTGGAGTTATTGATAAATATGTGTACTGTAGTTGTACTGTGGGATAGATAGATAGATAGATAGATAGATAGATAGATAGATAGATAGATAAGTGCTCAAATCAAAGGTATGACCTTGCAGCCTACAGGCATACATACATACGTACACTGTACATAGATTACATAGATACATACATACACACATACTCTATTAATGCCAAAAGAAATGCAAGAATGCAACGTTTCGGCTCGTATGAACAGCGCCGTCGCACCAAACGTCTCCGTGTGTCTTTGCCGCTGGTCCCCCTGCTGTGACATGTTCTGATAATCACACGCACAAGTCAAGCAGAACTAAAATTTATTGGCTCTATTAAGCTAATTACCCTTGAGGTTAACCGCGCGCGTGACGTAAAACCCAGGGTCGCTTCGAGCGCCCCCTACCTGAGCTGGAGCAGCGTGTAACAGACTGTCCTCTTCTTTCCGGACTGTTCTCCCGCTCCCTTAGGTAGCGCGGACTGCTCGGCATATGTTATAAACAAACAGCACATGTTTGCAAAGCCCTATCCTGCTATCCGTAGCTAAATTACATATTCTTATCACCACACAATTTAAAAGTGAGCAATATTTAAATATCCCGTTTAAATTTGTCTGATCATTTTATAAACTTAAGTGCAAATAAATTTCACCTACAACCAGTTTCCGTAAAATTAAAAACAATTGTAATTTATATGTTATAAATATTCTCATTTATAATAGCATTCCTGCTTTTATCCATGCATTCATTATCTGTCTCCTAGCTGCCTATGCTGGTTAGAGTCCCATTCAAGATCAAGATCAAGATACTTTATTTGTCACATACATAGTTATACAAGTGCAACATGTAGTGAAATGTACTCTGAACGACCCTTAGACTGTGCAAATCAAAAATACAATTAAGAATTAAGAAGGTCCAGCATATAGTCTTCAAAGCTGGGGACACCCTGAGCAGGACGACTTACAAGGAATTCAGATAAAGAATTAAAAATGCTGCAATGTTTAATCACACGACATTGGCCACAATGTTTTCTTTAAGTGCGTATTGGGGGAGAGCTATAATGCCAAGGACTTACCTCCAGCTAATTGTGTGTTTTTGGTACGTGAGATTTTGTCTATCTATCTATCTATCTATCTATCTATCTATCTATCTATCTATCTATCTATCTGTCTATCTGTCTGTCTGTCTGTCTGTCTGTCTGTCTGTCTGTCTAATCTGCCTTCTTTCTCCACCAGCTCCTCGCTCTGGATGGATTTGAAAGTCGATTCCAGGCACTGGAGGAAGTTTGTACACAGGTCCAGAAGAAGGTGGGACCGGCAGTGACCTCTGACCTCCCCAGCCAGGTTCATGCCCTGCGTGCAGAGGTGACGCAGCTGGCAGAGTGGCGACAGGATGCGGTGACCCCGGAGCAGCTGAAGGAGGTACAGAGCACTCTGGAGGTGAGGACAGGGGAACTGGAGAGCATGAGGAGCGAACTGGAAGCTCTGAAGGTTTTGCACACGGAGCTGGCCGAGGGAGGTCCAGCCGGGTGGAGGTTCGGGCAGAAGGAGCACGCCAAGGGCTCTGAAGATCTGAGCTCCCTGCTGGAGCTTCACGCAGTGGAGGTCACCAACCTCAGGAGGCTGCTGGCCCGGCACAAAGCCCAGCTTGATGCCGCCACGCGGGACATCAACGACGTGAGGTGCGTGAAGATGTAGATGGAGGGAGGCATCCTTCACCTGCTAATGACTGGCGGATTTCCGTAAATATAAACACATACACTTAAGATGACACTGGAGTTTTACAGATGAAAGGACAACCAGCATGATGACGAGTTAATGAAAAATATAGTCAGAAGGTCCTTCAAAGTCCCAGATGGAGGTTGAAGGTCTGAAACGAATGATTTGCAATAGATGCCTCAATGCAGAAATAATATAATGTGCTTTCATAAAAAAATGTGGTCACTTATTAATATCATATCCCATCCGTTCGTCCATCCATCCATCTGTCCTTTGGTCCATTTCCTAAACACTCATCCTGGTCAGCTTTGCATGTTTCCTTTAAAACGCTATAATGATGTTTCTGTGGTTTCCTTTGGATCCTTGGGTGCCCGTTCACGCTGGGCTGTGCTCTGGCTGTCAGAGAGCTGCTGGGGGACAAACCACAGTCCCAAACCAAGGCCGTGCAGGATCAGCATGTCCTGCAGAGCGAGAAGCAGAGCACTGCCACCCAGGGCCTCCAGGCTGCAGCCCAGGCCCAAGTGGAGACCAGTCAGAACCAGGTGATGAATATACACTAAGCTTTATGGTACATTAAGCAGTATGGGACAAGATTCTTTATTTGCCTTATGCACATCAGGACATGGGAATTCCTGCTCACCCCACCCAGTCAGTAACATATACAGTCATGTGAAAAAATTAGGACACCCCATTAAATATTTAGTTCTTTATTAAGAAATAGCAACATATCAGTATTAAATCTTCTTTCAAATTATAACTGTAGATGATGGTGATGTAATTGCATCATCTATGCAAAAACAAGAAACAAATTCACTTATTTACGAAAAGAACTTAACTAAGATCCTACTTTCCACTGAGGAAAAAGTTAAGACACCATTCATCTCAATTTAAATTCCTAGAATTAGATTCAGGTGGCACCATATCAGGGGAAAATAATCAGAACATCATTACAGAGCTTTTTGGTGGAGCCTGTCTTATTTAAACCACAGACATTCAGTTTGGTTTGCTCTTGATTGTTGAAATGAGTGGTATCACCCTGGTGAGATCCAAAGAGCTCTATGAGGCCTTCTGGCCTTCAGAAAGAAGCTTGTAGATGCATATGAGTCTGGGAAGGATATAAAAAGATCTCAAGAGAGTTTGGAATCAGATGTTCCACTGTCTGGAAAATAATTTATAAGTGGAGAACATTTAGAACAACTATCAGGATGGCCAGGACAGACTGTCCTAGCAAGTTCAGGCAAAGAACCGACCGCAAGATGCTGAAAGAAGTCTCCAAAAATCCTGAAATGTCACCACAGGTCGTAGAGGAATCTCTTGCCACAGTTGATGTCAAGGTACATGCATCTACCATCAGAAAGAGACGCACAAGTTTGATTTTCATGGGAGCTGTGCAAGGAGGGAACCCTTGCTGTTAAAAAAAACTTCTGGGCAACACTGAAGTTTGCCAGAGACCCACCTAGACAAAGAGTAGGACTTTTGGAATAACGTGCTTTGGACCGATGAATCTGAAATTGAATTATTTGAGCACAGTACCAGAGGACATGTTTGGCGTAAACCAAAGACAGCTTTTGAGCAAAAGAACCTCATACCAACTGTGAAGCATAGGGGTGGAAATGTCATGGTTTGGGGCTGCTTTGCTGCAGCAGAACCTGGCCAGCTCACCATCATAGAATCCACTATGATTTCTTCATCATATCAGAGGGTGCTTGAGGACAATGTCAAAACATCTGTCCAGATGTTGAAGCTGAAGTGGGGGTGGACCATGCAAATGAGAATGACCCAAAACTTTCCAGTAAATCTACCAAGGAATGGCTTACAAGAAAGAAATTCTGGAATGGTCAAGTCAAAGCCCGGATCTGAATCCTATTGAGATGCTGTGGGGTGATTTGAAGCAGAAGTGCATGCCGGACACCCTTCAAACATCACACAGCTTAAGGAATTCTGCGTTGGAGAGTGGGGAAAATATTTGCCAGTCAATGTCAGAGATTGATGGATGGTTATAGGAAACGTGTCATTGAGGTTATTTCAGCTAAAGGGGGAAATACTAGTTATTAGGGCACAGGGTGTCCTAACCTTTTCCTCAGTAGGAATTGGCATCTTCCTTTGTTAAATAAGTGAATATGTTTCTAGTTTTTGCATAGCTGATGCAATTACTTCAGCTCTATCTACATATATAATTTTAAAGAATATCTAATATTGATATTTTGATATTACTTAATGGAGAATTACATATTTAATGGGGTGTCCTAATTATTTCACATGATTGTAACAGGATTATAGAGCACAAAACAGTACAAAAGTACTCACAAAACATCAAATGAACTGCAGAGGTACGTATTTATGGGATTAATATGAAAAATATATATAAGAATGGCTGAACTATAAAAATACGTCAAAATAAATTATAAACTTATAAAATAAATATAAAATAAATAAAAGAAATGGCTGAAATGGAAAATATCATCCAGTAAAGGCTACTGTGCCTTTATAAGGTTGGAGTATTATCACTCTGTCCAGTAAAGTGTACTGTGCATTTTTGAGGTTGGATTAATGCTCTGCCTGGTAAATTGTACTATGTTTTTACAAATCTGGAGTATTATTACTCTGTCAAGTAAAGTACACTATGCATTTATGAGGTTGGAATATTGTCTCTCTGTCCAGTAAAGTGTACTGTGCATTTATAAGGTTGGAGTATTATCGCTTTGACCACTAAAGTGAACTGTGTCTTTATGAGATTGGAATATTATCACTCTCTCCAGTAAAGTATACTGTGTATTTTTGATTTTGGAGTATTATCACTCTGTCTAGTAAAGTGGACTGTGCATGTATGAGGTTGGATTAATGCTTTGCTCAGTAAAGTATACTGTGAATTTATGAAGCTGGAATATTATCACTCTGTCAAGTAAAGTATACTGTGCATTTATGAGGTTGGAGTATTATCATTCTATATTGATTGTCAGATAATTGACAGCAATAGATTTTCATTATGAATGACATAGCTGACGTAGAGATCATGTGATTGTACTGTTTAGGTAGCAGGTCATGTGACATGTGCCAATGCTGTTGTGGCTGGTCTCACAATGCTGCTTCTGGGTTCTAGATGGGTGAGCTGGATGTGGCTATCCCAGAGGATTTCCCTTCTGAGGAGTCAGTGGTCTTGATGCCTGAGGAAGAACAGTCTGATCAGCTAGTCAAAGAGGAAGAGGAAATGGCATACATAGATTTTGCCCCTGAGGAAGACGGTCCACCAGGAAAACTGGAGGCATATGTAACAGGAGCACAGGGACAAGAAGTCGCTATGACAAAGGAGAAAGAGCTAGGGGTTATGGAGGAACAGGAGATGGAAGTGAAAGAGGAGCAAGAACTAGGGGACACCAAGCAGGAGGAGGAGGTGACAGAGGAGGAGGAGCTGGGGGACACCAAGGAGGAGGAAGAGGTGACAGAAGAGGAGGAGCTTGCAGACAATGTGGAGGAGGAAGAGCTTGGAGATACTGAGGGGGATGAAGAGCTGGGGGACACTAAAGAGGAAGAGGTGACAGATGATGCGGAATTTGGAGACCGTGAAGAGGAGGAAGAGCTCGGGGACATGGAGGAGGAAGAAGAAGAGAAGGAGGTGATGGAGGACAGGCTGAAAGACATGGAGGAGGAAGAGCTTGGGCACTTTGAAGAGGAGGAGGAGGTGATGGAGGACAAGCTGAAAGAGATGGAGGAGGAAGAGCTTGGGCACTTTGAAGAGGAGGAGGAGGTGATGGAGGAGGAAGAAGAGCTAGAGGACACTGAGGAGGAAGAAGACCTGGAGGACACTGAGGAGGAGGAAGAACAGCTAAGGAATACCGAGAAGGACAAGGAAGTGATAGAGGAGGAAAACCTGGAAGACACAGAGGAGGAACTTGGGCATTTTCAAGAGGAGGATGAGGAGGAAGTGATGGAGGAGGAAGAGGAGCTAGAGGACACTGAGGAGGAGGAAGAAGAGCTGGAAGACACTGAGGAGGAGAACAAAGAGCTCAGGAATACCAGGGAGGACAAGGAGATGACAGAGGAGGAAGAACCTAAGGATGCTGACAAACAGGTAAAGAGGAAAGAGGAGATGATAGAAGAAGTAGGAGACATGAGACTGGTGAAGAAGGAAGAGGAGGAGGAACAGGATAACACAGAAAATGAAGAGCTGGGGGACCCTAATGCACAGGAGGAGGAAGAGAAACCCATAGAGGAACTAGAACTGGAGGAACCCAAGGTACATGAAGAGGAGATCATGGAAGAGCGGGTAACTCCTGTTGGAGAGGAGGAGCAAGAAGCCTCTGAATCAGGCACTGAAGAGGAGGAGCAGAAGAGGATGGCAGCGCAGGGAAAGAAAGAGCAATAGGGAGGAGGATACAGCCCAAATGAACAAGAATCTAGGTATTCGCCTGGATTTCCAGATGTGCAATTAGTCTGCCCTGGTGCACTGTAGGGCAGGGTTTACTTTGAGAAAGACCAAGATTGGACGGATATACTGATAACTGCAGTATCTTTACTTCTTGTATTACTATACAGTTGAACAGGTGTTGATTGAAATTATTTAACTGAGAAAGTTAATGGATTCTCCTTGATTAACAAAGAGATCTTGTAAAATATTTCTTTTCACATTCTGTCCTGATGTTTTAAGTCATTGGGGTATTTCTGAAATCTCAGCAATATGTCTGATTCCCAGAAATCAATTACAGGGCATCATCTTCACACTGAAATGGAACTGTTTTACTTATGATTGCCATGTTAGTAAATCTGAGGCAAACTTGGCCATTCTCTTCTCTTTCAGAGAATCAGAAGCTGTTAAGAAGCGTTAGTCTTCCAAACACATCACCTGCCCCTCGCTCACTGGAGATGATGGATATGAAGCAGCCATTTGCACTGCATGGGACAGCTGTTGCGTTTTGCAACTTTGAACTTCAACTAACTGTGTGAAAGGGAGCCTAGGGGTTTGAAAGGGTTCAAATCAGGGTTTTGTGCATCAACAACCTTGAAAGCCTTAATCCTTTGTGAGAAACCGGAACATTATTCCATAGCGAACAGCGAACAGTCATGTTTATTTCCACTGAATGTGTCTGAGTAGGACAGAACTCATTTCTACCACTGGAGGGCAGTGTAAAGGCACAGTTGTTGCATGTGTTAATTAGAACACAAGCTTTCTTGTGATAGCCAGATGACAGTCTATTTTTGACTGTAGGAGAGGTTATGGAGAAATGCATTTCTGTGTAAATAATGTACTAATGTACTACAACACACTCATGTAAAGCGCCTTGGGGCGACTCTATTGTGAAAGGCGCTATATAAAAATAAATTGAAATGAACTGAATTTGTCCAAACTCAATATGACACTGATCTAAAGGTGCTTCTGGTCAAAGGAGTAAAAACTGTGAAGTGTAACTTATTGTTTGGTCCACAATTGAATATGGATACTGTTTCATCTGTTGTCTTTTCTTTCTTGTGGTCACTCTGTAGTCAAACTACACTATATTCTCCAAGATGGGGTTGTGACCTAAGACAGAGGGCATCACAGACCCGAGTGCTTTAGGGAATAAATTCAGGTTCTTATTTTTTGCATATATTATTTGTGTATATTATTTATATTTATTTAGCAGACAGCAAAGCAACATACAAGTAGGTTGGGGTAGATTAGGTTAAGGGTCATGCTGAATAGCCCAATCATGATATGATCACTCTACCCGCTGTGGGACTTGAACTCACAACCTTTCAGACATGAGCACAGACAAACACACTGAGCTTCTGAATATTTCTGTGTTCTTGGGTAGTGGAGAGGAACACAATCTTTACCACCTCCATGTCCTTTGGGCATCACTGCCTTGTTCAGAATGTGGATTCTGTTTTGTTTGGACCAGAGCCAAAAGTCTGAAATCTGAGGTGATCAAAGTGCTTTAAAAGCTGACAGTTCTAATGCAGCGGTCGCCAGCTGAGATGCTGGGATTTCCCGACTGATCCCTGCGAATAATATCAAAGCCAATTTAACCCTATGTCTTTAAGATCATGCTGCAAATTAACAAAATATCTCAGGATCTCCATGTTGTTTTGGCGTTGTAACTTTCTATCATAATTTTTACTTAAATTTCTTGATAGTTTGAAATAGCATGATGGATTTGTTCTTTTCCTTCACAATGAAAGCTCTGTCTGGTGGAATCGCATTGTTGTGGGGGCGATGAGAAGCCCAGCATCAGCTGCAGATCACACTCCTGTTCCCCTGGCTCACTGCCTCCAGTTCTGCATTTAGCCTGGAGATTATCTGCTCTCTATGTCAGCTGACTGCAGAGGGCAGAGGAGATGACTGGCCTTTCATTACTAATTCACACGTGTCTCTGTCCTTCAGTGATGATTGGCCCCATCCAGCTGTGTTCCTATACAGCATGAAGGCCCCATCCAGCTGTGTTTCCACACGGTGCGATGGGCTCATCCAGCTGTGTTCCCACATGGCACGATGGCCCCATCCAGCTGTGTTTCCACACGGTGCGATAGCCCCATCCAGCTGTGTTCCTACAGAGCACGATGGCCCCATCCAGCTGTGTTCCTACATAGTGCAATGGCCCCATCCAGCTGTGTTCCTACATAGTGTGATGGCCCCATCCAGCTGTGTTCCTACATAGTGTGATGGCCCCATCCAGTGATGATGAGCTAAAGTTGGATTGTGACTCACAGGAGATAATGCTGTTTGTTCCTCCAGGAAATGCAACTTCCTCTCTTTGGCACCCCCTGTTTGGCATATGATGAGCTGCTGACAGGTACTGATAACACATAACCTGAAGGTGTCTGATCTTTCAGTTGGACCCTTGACTATAATGATTATGCGAGCTGTACAAAAGCAGATTAACAAAGTATGGTGACAGCATTTTATGGCAGAGGCGGCCAAATGTACCTGCACAGTGCCAGTGCACGCAGGATTTTGGGATAACCTTTAGGTCAGCTGTTCAAAACCAGGTGTGAGGACTTTTCAGTCAATCAGTCCTCTAATTAGTAATCTAATTAGGAAGTTGCAGCAAAAAACCTACATACACATTGGCTCTTTCTGGATAAGGTTGGCCACCTCTGTCCTGTGGTATCGTCATTAAGGAAAGCCCACAGCATTTGTCCAAAGCCAGATTGATTTTGTTACTGTGCTCTCTCCCGCCTAAACATGGATGGACGAATGGATGGATGGACCTTCAACATCTGTATGTACTGTGCCGACGTTTTCCTGAAGCTTATAGCCAAATGTATTTTCAAAGATGTGTATAAAATATTATAAATGGCATCCCTAATTTAACAGGCATAACGGCATATATGAGATAATCAAAGAATAGCTTTTGCTTTGATAAATCATTTTCCACCATTTCACTGAATGCAGTCCTGAAATCAGATCCAGCCTGTGCAGATCCTAAGCAGTCGAATTGCTTTTGCAGGGTTCTGTAACGCTCCCTGCTCACTGAAAATAGGTTGGCTGGCATTGTGAGCTGATTTCATTTTTTCCTGGGTTGGATTAAAGGAGCATGGGAAAGCGATGAGTGTGCCTTTAAATAACCCAGCAGCCTCTCTCGCGCGTCCGCTATCTGCCACTGGGAGATAGGGTATCGGGACGGGACGTCCCACACGCCAGCCAGCCGGGGAGGGGTGGGTATCGGTGAAGAGTGCTCTCTGCCTCCACCCCCAGGCTCAGTCAGACCCTGCCAGACATCCCGTTTGGACTCTCCCTGCCGGCTCTGCAGTTTCTCCACTCTCTGCACTGCCACGACCTTCAGCCGGGACCATGCAGGCCTGCCTGCCCAGGTAGGGGCTTCCTAGCCTGCGCCGCCACCCACAACACCCCCCCCCCCCCAACCCTATCAAACGATGCTGCAGCGCAGCACTGGCAGGGGGATGCTGGGTCCAGCGCAGCCTGCCGGCAGCACAGCAGCTCCCTGAACGTGTCTGCCTGCGTGAGACAGTAGCTGCAGTATCCTCGGGGATTTGGCTTCCGGACCGGGCCAGGGACAGATGGGACAGAAACCCATCCCGTCTATGCAGCGCTGGTGCTGGGCTGCATCCCGCGGCTGCGTGAGGCTCAGCAGGTTAGGGCCCCGTGTCTGTAATTTGTTAGTCACTGGTTGAAGTCTCGGGGTGATGCCTCTGTTAGGCCCTTGAGCAAGGCCTCTAAACCCAAATGCTCTGGGGGCTGTAAACCGTATATAAGTGAGGTTACAGTGCTGATCATCCGTCTGGAAGCAGTCGGAGAAAAATCAGTCACTACTCTCAGCTGTTACTATTGTCATTGAAGATAATAATAACTATATAACTAAGAACAGCAACTATTATTATTATCATCATCATTGTCGACAAGCTTCTAGGCAACGTAGTAACTTTTTAAGGCTTTTTGTCGAGATCAGAGACACAGAAATTTCTGGCACAAGTAGTGCAGGACTGGCCTGGAGTCTCATCTCAAGCCGTTGACCTGCTTGTATTCCCGATGCTACATGAGCAGATCGATATCCTGTAAGAGGGGCCTTCGGGGAGGGGGAGGGCCAGTGGTTATTGAACAGCTAGTGGTTGTTGATCACAGACTCGCTGTGCTTGGTGCATCATGGGAAAGAAGCTTTTGTCTGAGGGCTTCGCTTTAGTCATACAGCAGCGCGGTTTCTAAAGGCAGCGGAAGCCTTTTATTGACTCATAATGTACTGAAGGACACTCACTGGGAATGTAAGCAAAAGGGAAGAAAACCCATTATTAAGGAAAATGTATCCAATCCATTCTGCCATGGGTTCAGCATTATGAATGCTTAAGGTGGGCAGGAAATGCAATGCAGCACAATCAGAAAGGGATATAACCCCTTCTTTGGAGTTTAAAGTGGGTCTGCATTACTAATGCCAGGTTTAATAAAAGCAAAATTTATTTGGTATTACAATGAACAGAAACACGTAGACTCAAATCTGGGGGGTTGTGTGTGGCGCAGGGGGTTAGGGTCTGTGCCACTCTCCGAAAGGTTGTTGGTTCAAATCCCCCAGCTGGCAAGTGATCATGTCACCTCCGGGCTGTTGACCCCAGCTGCCCCAAGGTGCTGGATGCTAACTGACCTCAAGATCAGCTCATTTGTACCTCACCTTGGACAAAAATACCTGCTAAAATCAGTATGTCATGCACAGGAAATGCTGATGAACACAGGATTCATACATCTGCTTGTAATATATGACCTGTGTGGGACTGGGTATAAGGCCAGAGGGGTGAGTCTGGCCAGTGGGAAGTGAACTGCATTGTCTTTAAGTGTGATAGCAGTGATCCACCTTAAGCTGCCACGAGATTTTCAAAGATGTTTCCTCACAAGAAGAACCAAAGCAATGTCAGCCAAGGGCTTTGCGCTCTAGTCACTGATTCGTATCCGAGTGACGCGGACTGGGGTGCTGTAGCGTGTTGGAATCAGAATGACCTCTAGCATGTCCCCAGCTTACCACTCGATACCTGTGGCAGGGTATGTAAGCAGGAAAGCCAGAATCCGCACTCACTCTCATACACTGTCCTACAGCGGGAAACAATATAGGATAAAACGATTGTGTATCCCATTCTCAGCTTAACATATAAAGACGTTCGTTTGTTGCCAGCTGTGTTAACAGTAAGGTGGTAAAAGAATTTTACTTTCCATTCTGTAATCATTCTCTGATTGTGGCTATCAATGGATCAGCTAATCCGTTAACTGCTAATTAGTGACGTTAACTTTTCGGTTAGCAGAATAGCGTTTCCGTTAACTTTGAACACTGTTAGCCGATCAGTTAGCTTCTGCTAAATAAATTTACTCGGACTCTAAAGTTTAACAGTCAAAAACATCATAAATATCTCTTCCCATCTATTGTGAGCACATCTACACATGTCTATCTGGCATGCTGTTGGCTGACTTTGTGTAAACACAAGACATGATTGCTTGATGACTTGTTGATTTAAGGTTATATAAGTAAATAGGTAAATAGGTAAATATAAGTGTATGAAGATAAAGTCCGTTCAAACTGGGGTGCTCTGCACTAAGTGGAGAACAGGAGCCTGTATCACAAAGCTGGATTTCATGCTTAGCTAGATAACTTGTCAGATTTAAGGTATCCTAGTTTAAATCAACTTTATTCTCATTCACTTACAGTATACTAAGCCCAGACTATCTTAAATTCAACAAGTTATCCAGCTAAGCATGAAATCCTACGTGTTTCTCAATATGTCTTCTCATGTACTCATCATTTTCCATTGCCAAAAGATCAGTTACTGTACAATACTCAAGAACAGAAGTACTGAGGTAAAAATGGATGTCTTTCTTGCCCCGCCCCACATATGAAGAATACAAGACCAATGACTCATTGTGCCCCAAGTTCATTCTTGAAAGGAAAGTTATCACAAGTATGATCATTGCGTTCTTGGTATTGAGGAGAAACATCACCTGCTTCGTGGTACAGGCCCCCAGCTGTATTTTTCAGGTTCTGATTGACAGAGCTATAGACCCATGTATAGCTCTGTAAACAGCATCATGCTTGTAGTCCCTAAGCATGCATACACATTTACATGAAGGTAACAGTTTTAGCACCTTGTGAATAGTCTGTATGGTTTGCAAACCACCCCAATGCTTTTGATGTAGCATATTTTAGGTTTATAATGGAATAATGTAGATTTTCTGTAAGATTTCCTGTGTGTCACACCAGATGCATGAGAGATGGCAACCCTGAGGTCTGTTTTAATGGATTTCAGAGCTAAAAACCGAAACCAAGCTACATTCATATAATACAAGTTAGTGGTTATCATTAGCGAGTGATTTATCAGTTTAGCGTTAACACATTAAATGTTGGAGTTAGCGGATTAGTGGTTATCGAAGCTAACTTCTTGGTTAGCTCTGCCCACCACTGGTAGCTATTAATGGAAATCAAACCGTTTTGAAGTGGAGAGAGAAAGTGAGAGAGATGCTTTGGAGCTGCAGGCCTGTTGCACAGATGTCCAACAGCAGCCCTCAGGTGAGGAACTGAAAAATCAGGCTTGTTCTTTCAAAACTTTAACTTGTTTATTGACGGGATCACAGGTCCAGCCATTTAGTGCTTTAGAAAGATTTTTCCGTATGTTTTGTAATTAGATCTGAGCAAGGACGGGCTGAGGGATGGCAAGATAAAAGAAAAAAATTGTCACTGTGGAGCTGTGTGTAGCTCAGTGGACTATGATTCTTTGCGTATGATTGGAAGGTCATTGGTTCAAATCCCATGGTCAGCAAAGTGATGTCACCATGGGGTCCCTGAGCAAGGCCTTAACACCCAATTCCCCAAGATACTGTCTGACCCAACGTTTTCAAAAAACGTGCGTTGCTTTGGATAAATGAGAAAGACTTATGTGTTAAAACATAAAGGCAGCCATATTACAATGTAAGCAGTGGGGAAAGCAGATGTCCTGTGATGGACTGGCATCCTGTCCTGGGTGTCCCGTGCCTTATGATGGACTGGTATGCTGTCTAAGGCTTACCCCAGCCTCGTGCCCTGGGATGGACTGGCATCCCATCCCACGAAGCACCAATCCTCATACCCTGTGATAAACTGGCATCCTATCTCATGGTGTGCCCTGCCTTCACACCCTGTTCTTTCCAGAATACTATCTGTTTTCACTATCACAAGAACAAACACTTATGGAAAATTCATTGATATTTCACAATGGGAAATATCAAGTTTTCAGATAATGCAGTGAGTCCCTTAGGCTTTCATCTAGTGACTGACAGTATGACTTCTAAGGTTCCTCTGCGGTCAATACGACATATAACACAGAGTATCTGCACGGAAAACCCTCTATCCCTCATTTATTTAGCTCACCATCAACTGAAATTAAAGAGAGCAAGCCGAGAGTAAGACAAGAGTAAGCCAATAATAACATAAGAGTAAACCAAGAGCAAGCCGAGAGTAAGAGTACTAAGTATAAGGACTAACCACCACCTGAATGGTTTCTTCCCCCAGGCCACTGCCCTCTGAAATAAGGACCCATGCAGAGCACACTGGAATTACTAGGACTCTATCATATATAATCACCCACAGTATGAATTTGATACTTTTATTGACTTTAAAAGCTTAGCTGAATATACCCCCAAGCTTTTGGTAACATACTGTACGCCTGGGTGTCTAATCTTTACTTATATATCTACATGTTTATTTATTATTTGCACATCTTCATTTTCATTTCATTCTCTTTATCTGTATGTATTGTTTTTTGCATATCGACTGTTTGTTTAAATGCGACATAATGCCACCATCCGTACCAAAACAAATTCCTTGTGCTTTTTGCACTTAGCAAATTATGATTCTGAATTTTTAAACGGATGAACAGAAGTTGTTTCAGTGTATAATCATATGTGTTTACATATTTAAGTAACTTTTCATGAACCATCAAACTGATCTCTATTATTCTATTTAAAAAAACAGAAAACATTCTTCCGCTGTATGTGCTACACTGCAGTACAACAGGAGGTGCACTTTAAAGCCAAATAATGCTTGTGGGGTGGAGTGACGCTCAGCTGGTTGGGATTTTCTGACATGTGTCCATGTTGCTGCTGGTTCAAAACCAGTCAGCAGAGTGATATCCCAGTTGAGCCTCTGAGCAAGGCTCTTAACCCAAGGAGCTCCAGGGACTGACTGATCCTGCCCTCTGATAAATGTATGTTGGATAAAAGCACCTGCTAAATATAATGAAAGTTATACTGGGATTTCTGGTATTCATCTCTAGGTCATATCTGACGCCGGTGAGGGATGAAGAGGCGGAGTCTCAGAGGAAAGCCAGGTCCCGGCAGGCGAGGCAAACACGGAGGTCCACACAGGTATGCCTGCCAGGACCAATCAGATGCCAAGCAGTAAGCCTCTGAGCAAGCCATTGGACGGATGGGAAAGTGTTTAAACAGGCCCCGCCTTCATCCCTTGGCCTGACATTCCCTCAAGGGATTACCAGCTCGTGCTCAGACCTCCTAGAGGCACCTGTCATTCAGCCTCAGTGGAGAGATTTCTCCAAGAAAACCTCCCATAGTTAATAGAAAATCCTGAAGCTGGGTGTCTGTTGTAGGGGGTGACGCTCACCGACCTCCGGGAGGCGCAGAGGAGCTACGGCCACTCGAGTTCAGACAGGCACACGGGAGAGTCGCAGAAGACGGGGACCGAGGAGCCAGGTGTGGACTCCCAAGCAGGACAGAGGGAGGCGGAGGAGAGCCGGCCAAGGAGAAACAGGGAGGTTGACGACGTGAGTGAAGCCGTCACCGTTTATCCTATTAGCGAAGACATTTTAGCGACGTAGCTTACAGGCAGCGTGGTCCCTTGTCAGAAACATGTAAAACAGCCTGGACCATTCACAGTATTTTGATTATTTCCGAGCTGTAAACAGTGACCTAAAAACAAAAGCAGGGCTGCAGCAGGCAGGCTAAGTTTAGCTTAGACATTAAATTGATCTGAATTCTGTTTTTAACTCCTTAAGCTTGGAAACTTGAGGACCTGGGTGGAAGCCCAAGCTGAGAGCTGTACCACGCCTTCTGCATCCCCACACCGGACCCCCCCCAGCCCGACCAAGTGCCTGTCCTCCCTGGGACTCGACCCCAATGGTGAGGCGTTCCTCAATGTAACCTCGACATGTGTGCCTATATGTGTCGAGGGTCATCTTCTGCCCCCGGATCGTGTTTCATGAGACAATAAACATGGCTACCAATCACATTTCTGCAGTGTGATTTTCAAACTGCTGCAGTCCTTCGTTGCCCTTCCCCTTCCAGAATGTTCTCTGCCACGGACTCGCAGAAGGTCAGCACCAACACTCCCGTCGCGATCTGTGCCAATTTGGTTCAGTGAAAATGTCATACAGTCACGCAATTAGCAGCTTTTGGGCATTAGCCTGGCAAGTGTGAAATGGGCCTGTGATCCATTCATGATGTTTGGTTGCAATATGCTGGTGTCAGCCAGCAGGGGGCAGTGTGTAACTCAGTGGGTTAGGCCTCTGTGGCTGTGATCAGAAAGTCACTGGTTTGGATCCCTTGTTTAGCAAGAGTGTTCTTACTATTTGGCCATTGAGCGCTGCCCTTATTCTTCTGAAATGGGGTGCAAGATAAATTCCCAGACCATGCACTCTGACGCCAAGCTTCACTATCACCTATATATATATGTGTGTGTGTCTGACAGAGGATGATGGGATATGTGAAAACTAGATAATTTCAATGCAACCATGTTTATTCTTGTGCAAATGCCAAATGCCTTGATTTACTTGTGCTCAGAAAGTGTGATGATAGCACAGTTCTTTGGACACTGCAGACAGCTGCAGTTACATGGTGGCCCATTAGCATCCAAAGAAAGTTATTTCTAGCTTTGAGTTTAAAGTGGGGTCAGTCCACCTCCATGTGTATTAGGCACTAAAGGCATAAGCAGTGTTACTTAGTGTTAGGTGCTGCAAATTTGAGCTGAGAGTTTCACTGGTTTCATCCAGTTAATGGATAATGCAGTCTTTAAGTGAGGTTACTGATGACCTGTTCTGTTCTTTTTTTCATATTTTAAAGTTACAAATCACAATTTCAGGCTGCAGCTAAGAAGAGCCCGTAAACAGAATAATGAATTCATTGGAGAACATAATGCAGCATACACCGATATACTCAGCATTGAGAAGAAAACCAATGAAACAGATTTATTGAATTTATAATCTGAGTTGCTTTTCTATTTATGAACTTATCTAGCCAGTGTCGTTTGTGCGAGTTTTCTGATTCGTTCCAAACCACTTCTTGTTTATGCCGATCAGAAAGAAGCGTCCAAGGCAGAGTTTCTTTTCTCCTATAATTTTGATACTCGACTGTAATCCCTTTAGGAAATGAACTGGAAGGTGCAGACCAAGGCGGCGGACAGGATGAACCCTCAGAGGCGGAGCTCAGGCAAAGACAGCGACCGCAGACCCTCGACCAAAGCCTGAGTGCTGATACGTCAGACGGCACACAGAAGGTAAGTGTAGAACACTCTGGAAGGGTTATCAGGTACACACTGATCAAAATATCTGTCCTAGCACCGCTGCATCATAGATATGTGATGTTTCACTTTCAGCACATCTGATTCAATTAACTATAGGCTGTAAGATTTGTTAATTAGTCTTGTTGGTTTGTCCACTGATGAAAATCGAATAAAGTGTATGGATGAGGTAGGGGGGTATCAGAGGCGATCCTAGGGTCTGTTGGGGCCCCAAGCAAAAATTCACTGGGGGCCCCCCCTCTAACCAGTTTTTGTCATCATTTTAATAAATAATCTGACATTAACAAAAAATTGTGAACAGTAAACTTGGCGGCCCCAAGCAGCTGCCTGCCCTGCCTGCTGAAAATATGCGCCTCTGGGGAGTATCACAGGGAGACCTGCCAACCGTTGGTCCTGCTAATTGTTGTTGTACTTCCATATTTACCACAAGATGGCGCCAACAGATAAGCTGCTTAGTGTTCCATAGATATGCCAGATGTCTTTTTCCATGGTCACAGGCTCCAACCCGTTCTGGGGGATCCCTGAATGTTCTCAAACCAGCTGGGAGATGCATAATCCCCCCAGCATGTCCTGGGTCTACCCCGAAGCCTTTGCCCAGTGAGTGTCGGGTACAGCTTCACTGGAACCCTTCCAGCTGGCATCCTTGTCAGATGCCAGAACCACCTTAGCCGACTCATCTTGATCCAAAGGGGCAGCGGCCCTATTTCCGGGTCTCTCTGGATCTCTGAGCTCCTCACTCTGTTACAGAGTCCAGAAGCAGAGGAACCTCATTCCAGCTGCTTGTACTCGCAACTTTGTTCATTCAGCTATTATCCAAAGCACATTCCCAAGGACTACCACAGCGCAGACGAAACTGCGGTCAGTGATGCAGTCCACCTGTAACTGTCATGTTCCCAATCATCATCACTATAGTCCTGAATCTCTCAGGCTGATCAGTACGTCTATCAGCAGGGCCTGGTTTGTTGTTTCTGGGGCCCCATTCAAAAATCAGCATCACCTAAATAAAGAACGGGTTTATTTCATATTTAGTGTAGTGACAGTTTGTGACCAACAGGGGGCCTCATGGGCCCCATGCAAATGGACAGTTTGAGTGGTGGTGAACACCTCCATTGGTCCCTGTAGCCCCAGTACATTACTGTAAGTCTGTTAGCCAGCCTGGTGTCTAAAGGTGGAGAAACTGAATCACAAGCACCTTGTCGACGTGAGGAGCCTTTTATTGCTCCCTGTCCAGCTGCAGTCCATGGTGGAAAATCGAAGATCACAGCAGCACTGCTGGAAAAAGCAAAAACGCTCCACCTGTAAATAAACCAAGATCAGTTCCGGCAGAACTCACCCCCCACAATGAACAAGAAGACTTTGACCGGGGGTTAAACATGGCCGTCACCTCAGTGGAACTACCCCCCCCCCAAAATGCAGGATGTGTTGGGGGTTATTTTTTCGGCAGGTGCTGCTTGCCAACACACACTCTGTCTCTGTGGCTCAACTTGGCAGGAGGCTTTGGGGAGGAATCCTGCATGGGGGAGAAAGGCTGAATCACACCGGCTTTGCGGGGGCTTCCGGCTGTGGGGGTGTCTGCATTCCACAATTCACGTATTATTTTATTTTTCATGACTAGATAAATCTTTCCCTTCGCATGGGTGCTGCTATGTGGTGAATAAATGCTTAATGGATAAGTGGAATGTTTCAGCCTTTGCTGTGATCGCCGTGGACTTCCCGCATCCGCGGAGGGCTCCCGGCACAGTCGCACGGCGCCGTGGACTTACCACATCCGCGGAGGGCTCCCGGCACAGTCGCACGGCGCCGTGGACTTACCACATCCGCGGAGGGCTCCCGGCACAGTCGCACGGCGCCGTGGACTTCCCGCATCCGCGGAGGGCTCCCGGCACAGTCGCACGGCGCCGTGGACTTACCGCATCCGCGGAGGGCTCCCAGTACAGTCCCACACCCATTACTTTAGTTATCGTTTCCTCTTCTTCTCGTGCTCTTCTGTGGAATTAATTCATTTTAAAGGCTCCATGAGGGAGAAGCACAAGCCAATTGGTCAATGAAAACGTTCCCTATAAAGCTGTCGCAGAGAAACAGGCTGTCCGGCCGGGACGCAGATGTGCTCCCAGAGAAAGGGGGGGGGACTGGGGAGCGGGCCTGTTCCCCAAACCCCCACACTGACAGCGAGGGCCGCTTCAGGTCACCGCGGGAAGGAAAAACAATGGTACACAGTGCCGTATATGACGGGGATCGCCGAGGTGGTCAGGTATTCCCAAAAAAAACCTTGATGGGAGTAGTGTGTGGCTAAATGGGTTAGGATCTAGTGCCTAAGATTTAAAGGTCATGGGTTCAAATCCGGTCAGCAGAGTAAATTAACTGATAGCCCCCTGAGCAAGACTGTTAACCCCCCAATTGCTGCTGATTCTACTTTCCCAAAATAAAAAAGCATCTGCTAAGTAAAGGGGGAACGGGAGGAAAAAAAAGAAGGGGATCTCGACGCGGTGGCGTTCTTTGGGGTGTGTACGAGGGGCCAGGCCTGTCTCTTAGTCCTGGAGAGGAAACACAGCCAGCCAGCTACACACAACAGGAGATCTGAGTGGAGAAAGGATGCATTGTGGGATATGGGGGGGAGGGGGGGGTTCCTCACAATGTGAACTTGATTTTTCTGAGTTCTGCAACACCACTAACTCCTTCCTGTTCGAAAGTTGTGGGCTGAGGTACCATTCATGGCCCGAGGCACAGGCAGGACTCGCCATGTCTGCAATGTGATGAGCTACAGTATATTCTGTCAGATGGAAAGAGGAAGAGTGTTATTTTTCCCAAATGCAGATACTCATATCGGTGGACAGGTCACCAGCCTCGGTGCGCGGGTAGGAGAATACGCTCCACATCCAAGAATAATTTCCAGGATCACCCGGACCTGAAGTGCAGTACAAGAGAGATTTCATTTCAGCCTGACACTCCACACTGAAGAATGACCCCCCAGGGAAGACAAAAAGCACTCTGGCTTGCGAATGATGCTTCCAGCCAAAAAGACTCACAGTCTATCCAACGTTCCTCCTCAAAATATCCCATCAGTGTTTAGGACCATAAGGACTGATACACCAAAGGACTCCTCCGTTTCCAGTGAAAAGAGCATCTTTAAAGGACACTGCCCTTCTGCTCCGGGCACACGGGGGCCTACATCGCCATGGTAACGTGGCACCATTTAAACCCCCGATAAAGAGAGACCACACAGCTGCTGTGGAGTGATTAAAGCGCAAGAAGAACAAAGTCCAGCTCAGCTTCCCAGTGTCAACCTTCAGCCTCCTACATCTGCCTGTGGACATATAAGGCTTTGTTGCCCCCCCCCCCCCAGCTCAGAGCCAAAGCACAGAGAAACACCTGGAAGTCTGCCAGAGATGACTGCCAGAGGCGGAGAGGGACTTCACTCAGCAGGCAGAGGGAGAGGATGACGGAGGGAGAGAGGCATTGGGGTGAGTGGGAGGGGGGGGTATGTGTTTGGGTGGAGCATGTCTGTGCGCCTGTCAATTCGGAAAACAGAAGATAAGGCATCACAAATGGAGACTGTCACCCCTACTCTTCATGGGAGATTCCCGGACGTGTGAGTGAGTGTGTGTCCATCTCCACGCCGACAGAGGTTAGGAGGAGATGCAGCTGAATAGCAAGAATCCCATAAACTCATCCCTTCCGTTAGGGTTGGGGACACTTGATTATGTGAGAGAGAGGGAGAGAGAGAGAGAGAGAGAGAGAGAGGGAGGGAGGGAGGGAGGGAGGCGGGGCAGAGGGAGAGAGTAGCTTTGATTGTTTTTATTCCTGTTAAATGACCGCCACACTGTCCAGACTCTCAGGAAGAAGGGACCCCCGCTCTGCTCCCCAGCCGTGCCCCCCTCCCACCCACTGCTGCCTCCATTCCTAGACCCGCCACTTGCACCTCCTGGAAGACTGCGGAAGGTTTCCCGCTCACCTGCCGCTCCGCGAGGGGGGGGTAGCGCCACCATGGGAGCCTCGCCGATGACAGCCTGATACGCACCCGCACCGGACCCCCCCAAAAAGCTGCCGTGCGCCCCGGCCAGCGCGCAGCCATGTCCTCTCTGTACTCCCGGACCAAGGAGCTGACCCGCACCAGGAAGTCGCTGTCAGACTCCCCTCCGTCCTCACCCTCCCCGACCAGCAGGAGCTCCAGAGTAAGAGATCCACATTGTTCCGCTGTTCCGAAGCCTTTTTCACAGCTTCAGCCAAACGGATCCTTGCCCCGCCGGTGCACGTTGCCAGATTCATGAGCATGTAACTTAAACTCTGTGATGGGACAACAGTCCGTAAACTTTGCCTTCAACACCAGTAAAAAACAAGCCTAGTTCCGTCATGATTGGTGCTGTTATCTAGGCTCTAAATTGAGGGAGCCACATAATTTTACCCTGCTTTTAATGTGCTTTACAATCATACCTAGTCTGGTTTCGCTTTCTCAGCTATAAACAGGAAGATACCACAAAGTGTATTGCTTACTAGAGACAGATTTTTACCAAAACATGTGGTGATCTTTTCAGTCTGGTAAGCTCGCAAACGGGATTTTCCTAATTTATGATGGCACGGAAGTGCTTTTCGATAGCTCAGGGACTCATTAATGTGCGTTTCAGTACAACACAAAATTTTACACTGAAACTCAAATGTATCCTTATGGCATAATCAACCAGGCTGCACAAACCAGTCAGATTTGTGGGTGAAAACTTCAGATTAATATTACATATTGTGAAGAGAGTGACTTCTCTACAATATAAAGGATCCCTTTTCTAAGCAGTTAGTTTGAGAGAGTAACATTCTTATACACAGCAGGACACAGCAGTGGGCTATGTGAGTAACAGTGTTTAAACACATCTGCTTTGGAGAGTTTGGTAAGGGCTGTTTTCACTTTTTTAAAAACTGTATAGCATGCCAGTGGTAAAGGAAAGGCAACTCAATCCACCCTCCGCCTTTAATGTTGTGATAATCTC